GGGTATCTCCTAGTCGAGCAGTCTCGACTAGAGTCTTCTTACTTGTTTTTTTAGTTTTTTTTTGCATAATTGCAAAACGCGAGATAATTGACAATGAAATATTTATCAGTTGCAAAACTAATTGTTAGTTTATGGGCGATGTGTGTGCTGAATGGCTCGCATCATCATTAAAATCTTGTATCATTCTGGGCAGATGCGCCAGCCGCAGCGGGCCATATAATTACTGGCCATATCGGGAGTGATGAGCAGAAGCCGACAAAGCATGCGAGATGGTGTGACTGGGTTTGCTCAAGAGCTGCCAATTATGGACAAGTTGGTATACCCGTCTGATTATAGACTTTAGACTGTAACCGAAGAGAACGAACCAGCGAGTGAGAGAGAGAGAGAGAGGGCACAACATTATACTAATTTAATTTTAAACGAACACAAATGCCGTACATATAATTTAAATAATTGCATAGAGGCCCGGGGCCAAGACTATTGATGATGTTATCATGCGACTCTTATCAACAATTTCCGCTGGCAGCTGCATTCCGCTCGGAACTGGAGTTGGCCGAAGAGCTCCATGCCATAGCCTTGTTCAGTTAATTATTATGTATCGCTTAATGGCCACACTTTGTGCCTACAGAAACATTTCCTTGGCGAGGCAGAGCAAATGAGCCAATGAGCCAACTGGGCTGGGCCCAGGCCAGGCCTGAAACTATCGACTGATAAAACAATTTACTCTCCTCATCTGTTTCGTGTGCTCAGCTAAATTATGGTTACAAAATTTTATGAAGCCATTTATTTCACTCACAGCTCGCACCACTCGCTCCACTCACTCCACTTGCACCACTCGCATATTATACTTAAAGCGATCGCCTTTAATCAGTGGGCAGCGCTTCGCCCTGCACTTCTTTTCAATTTCGAGCAAGGGAAGCATCTTGTAGATTATTCATAAGAACAAAATTACAAAATTATACAAATTAGCCGCAGCTCTAAATGAAAGAAGTCACTTAAGCGACCAGCGATTGCAGCGAAGGCTGTGCCGCGAACCAGTTCGCTAAGTGAATTACAAATCCAATTCATTGCTCATGCTGAGCAATTCGAGCGATTTGTTTATGAAACTTGAGTTTGATTCGTTGTTGTGATACTAGTTCATTAACAGATTCATCCTGGCTGGAACTAGTTCATTAAAAAAAGATACTTAATGAGTTAGTTCACTGGTCGGAGTTAGTTAAAGTGAAAATTGAAGTTCCTGAACTAGTGATTATAACAAAAAGAATATGCAAATAAATAAGACACACATATTCATACCAAACTAGTTTATTGTGAGGAACAAATTTAAAGTAGGAAACGGATTTGCGGAGCTAGTCTTTCGGCAAACGGAAAATGAACGCAACTAGTTCGCTATGCGGAACTGACTTAGTTTTGTGTGAAATACATGAACTAGTGATTATAAAAGATAATGATTGATCAAAGAACACATACAAGTGAGTAACTCTTGAACTAGTTCGCTGGTTGGAACCAGCTCAAAACCTGAGACTGAGCTGATAAACTAGTGATTAGACTTAGAGAATATAACAGAACCTTATCCTTATTTCCTCACTTCGATTCGATCAGAATATAACAGTGAGCTAGAAAAGTACACAAACGAAACAAATTTGATAATATATTTTGATTATTTCAACTCTTACCTGACACATGTAGTTCATATAGACATCCGTCAATATTATTTCGTAATAGACAGCTGAATGAATTCATATGCTATCGAATTTGCATTTAACACGTTTCGCTACTTTCGGCTTTCGAATGGCATACAGCTGGGAGTTAACATGTGTACGATGGAGTCGTAGAGCTGTTCGTGGATCGCCGCGTAAGCAGACAATTATGCATATAAACGTACCAGCCCACTCGTACGCTCCATCATTAAGGCTAACAGACAATTTGTCAAAAGGAAAACAAGAAAACTAACACGAAAATTTGCATAAAAAATAACAAACAACTAATATTAGACAACAACAGCACAAACATAAAAATTTGCATGTCTGAACGACTAAGTTGGGCAACAGATACAACAACAACAACAACAGCAATAGCAACAAGTTAGCTACCAATAACAATTTTCTATACAGGTAACACAGAAGCAGAGGCCCAACTGCAATTACCGAAAGCCAGCCGAAACGGCAGATCAGAGGAGGATCGTTCAGTCAGTGGATGAGGGGAGAGGGGGGAGGGCAGCGGGACGGAGTCTTTCATGGGGCAGCTGCCAACTGACAACAGCAAGCGGCAAACACTGTTGCAAGCAACATGTGCGTTTGTGTCCGCAACGATTAAGTAAAAACAATTTACACGCCTGCCAACCCGAGCCAGAGTCAGAGCCAGAGACAGAGACAGAGACAGAGACAGAGCCACTGACTTAGCGACAGTGGAGCCGAATGCCAAAGCAACAGACTGAAAACCTTAATTGAAATATTGCATATACAGACATATAAAAATAATAATAAAATCTTTTATTTTTCGGAATATGATACAAAATTTGTGTACACTAAAATTTGGAAAGTCAACACGTATATTTCGGCTTTCAAGCTCTTCAAGTAATATGATTTCTGGCATACCGAAATTTACTCATTTCACGTTCGTCAGTGAGTATAAAAATGTTCACAGCATACCATGCATGTAGTTCTAGCTTACCTAAAAGCCCTGAAAAGGGCATTTTATATGATTTGCTTATCAACCGCTCCGTTT